TTATTTTATTATTTTTGTGGGAGTGTACTGTCAAATCAGATCTGACTGGTACAGGAGGAGATTGTCCCTCCTTCCCCGGCAGAGCATCTGGTGGATTCGAGCCATGCGCCTCTGGGATTGTAGTTGCAGCTCCTTGCCACTAGGCCACCAGAGCTCTCCCACAATTATTTTTTTATTCGAATACTCAAGCTGAAAGAACCCTACAAAGTGTACATCACATGAATGCTGTTGTAAGATAACATTTATCTCTACTAAATTATCTTCAATCTCTTTGTTCTGAAGATTTGTTTTTGTTTTAAGTGAGTCCAAATATCTTTCAAAAGTTTGGAGAAAAGAACTGAGGTGGTATTATTTTATGAAGCACTTGTATGTAGCAAAGCGAACTGCCATGCTGGTCACAAGACTCACCTCACAGGCTCCAGTTAAACACTCACCTGCTAAGAAATTCTCAGCAAAGGCCCGAATAGACTTAGTATCAGCAAGATCCAGTTTTCGTGCCAACACCTGCTTATTCCCTGTTTTGGTCTGGATTTCTTTGGCCACTAATTCCGCCTTTTGCATATCTCGGCAAGCTAAATATACCCGGGCTCCTGTCAGTGAAAATAGATCAGAAACAAATAGTTCTATTTTCAATAGTGCATTTTAGAACCAATATTAACATTTAACGTCATTCTCTATTATTATTATTATTATTACTATTTTTTTACAAAACCAGGTATTTTCACCTCTATCTTACAAAGTGGGTATCTAATGAAAGAAAATGATATTAATAGCATTACGGCCTAATGGTAAGAAGCGGCACTGCTATCCCAAAGGTCCACGGTTTGAATCCATCAACTGTTCTGTAGGAGAAGGATGGGCACTCTCCTCAAATGCGATTTACTGCCTCTGAAAAGCTGCTGGAGGGTCTGCTATGGGTTGGTTCCAACTCGATGGCACACAACAAGAGTAGAAGTAGAGCACTCTACTAGGCTCAGATCAGAATAGTGGGAGTTCTTGAATTCTCAGATCAGGAGGAATTGAAGAGAATGAACAACACCATGCGATAGAAAATAGCAGTACTACTGTGACCAGCTGTCATACTTTTGATTCATGGCAACCCCATGCTTTACAGATGAGGACTGCGCTCCATATTCACTCACTTACTGCTATCAATTTGAAGCATGTACTTCTTTTTTCCCATGGAGCAGCTGGTGCATTCTGTCTGTCTTTGGGTTGGCAGTTTAACTCTACCCACCAGGCCATCAGAGCTCTCTATGAGGAGTGTGCTCCATAAGGTTTTAAACACTATAGAATGCCAAGTCTTTCTTCCATGGTGCCACAGTTGTTGCTGTGTGCCGTCAAGTTGGAACTGACCCTTCAGTGGCTTTTCAGAGTGAGTAGAATACACAAGAGGACACTGCCCATCTTTTCCCTGTGGAACAGATGGTGGATTTGAACCATGTGCCTTTGAGATTGCAGTGCGGTTTCTTATCATTAGACCACCAGAGGTACTGACCTAGAGCTCTGGTGGCCTTTGGATGAGTCCAAACCACCAAGTGGTCAGCATCTGAATGCTTATCTACATATACCATATAGGGACACCCAAAAGAGCAGCAGCAGGAAAGAACTAGAAGCAGATGAACTTGCCTCTCTGAGCCAGCTCTTTGGCGGTCTCCTTCCCAATGCCTGTGTTGGCTCCAGTGACAACGGCTACTTTCCCAGGAAGCTGGACAGTTGATGTACACACACCACTGGCCAGCATCTTCCTGTAGACAGAGAATTCATTAGTTCCTTATTCCTCATCCTTGTCAATACTTGGGATTCCCAGTAGGCAGTGGCATCACTAGAGTTGGTGTCACCCAGTACAGTAACTCATTATGTCACCTTGACCCCACCCAGACCACCCACCATATCAACTTTAATAATAGACCAAAATGTGATAAATGTAGCGGCATCCACTTCCGAAATGGCTTGCCTCCGGAAACTCTATGTATGAACAGTGCTCAGGCCTTTCATCCATAGGGTCGCTATGAGTCATCTACGACTCGACAGCACCTAACGACAACAGAGAAAGAGCTACGTTGGCCTAGTGGAAAGAAAGTTATGCTACCAAGCCAAAGGTGGGTGATTTTAATCTGCAGCTCTCAGGCCGGGTTCAAATTGTTTTCCTACCAAACATTCTTCTAGGTGGCATAGCACTGGTCTGTGCGTTGCTGTACAGAGGTAACTCGTGGTTGCTGTGATGCTGAACACAGTGACAGTGATGTGCCAAACGTGGTAATGGGTACCCATGGTGGAAAGTGTTGGCTGGAGCTTCCCGACTAAAATAAGCCTGGAAGCAGGAGCGGCATCCACTTCCAAAATGGCTTGCCTCCGGAAACTCTATGTATGAACAGTGCTCAGGCCTTTTGTTCATAGGGTTGCTATGAGTTGTCTATGCGTCGACAGCACTTAACAACAACAACAACAACAACATATTCTTCAAATGTGATTATTTCTGAAGGCTAAAAATTGTTTTGTAAATGTTCTACATTGATTTACATCATTATAACATTAGTAACTGAAAAGAACCTTTGCTTCTCCTTTTCTCCTTTAATTATGCTTTTCTTTTTAAAAAACATTATTGCTACAGTTATACAAGTACTAATTACCACACTATACTAGCTAGAACACCAGAAAATCTGACAGAAATCAGCAACAGTAAAGCAGCACTGTTACTGTTATGTGTCGTTGAGTTGCTTGTGACTCATAACAACCCTATGTACAATAGCCCTGAAACCTGCTCTGTCCTGTGCCAATCTTATTGTCTCACTACCCCAGTCACTGAATCGATTCATCTCATTTGGGGTCTTCCTCTCTTGTGCTGTCCCTCCACCCTTCCAAGCATGATGTCCCTCTCCAAGGACTGGTCCCTCCTCACAACATGTCCAAAGGAGGCCAGACAGAGCTTCAGAATCCTTACCTTCATGGAGCAGCCTGGTTTCTTCCTCTAGAAGTAAAAATAATAGTATGTGTTTGTGGTGCACACAGATTTCAAGTGTCATTGTAACTGGGTAATATGACAGGTTTGACTGGAGTGCATTGTTACGTGCTGTCAAACTGGAATCAACCAACAACTGACACTCCAGCGAGTTTTCAGAGGTAGTAAATCGCCCAGGAAAGTTAACTGGCATAGAGTTTTAGCCTTACCAAAAAAAATTTTGTTGTGATAACTAACTACAGGGATTATTTTTTTTAATAAGAAATAAGTATGTGCTGAAACAATGCAAGAAGTTTAAATACACTCAATTTTACTACCACTCCCATTGAAAGGGTATACCCCACACCCCCACATCTCTCTAGTGATAGCATCGCAAGGTCAAGATATACTTTGGGGGAGTTCTGGTGGCCTAGTGGTAAGGAGCTGCAACTACAATCCCAGAGGCACACGGTTTGAATCCACCAGATGCTCTGCCGGGGAAGGAGGGACAATCTCCTCCTGTACCAGTCAGATCTGATTTGACGGTACACTCACACAAAAATAATAAAGTAAAAATTAAAAAAAAGATATACTTTGGTTTTTACCACTGCTGTACAGTTGTACACTTAAAGAAGGCAAGAGGAAAGAAGATAAAAGTTTTCAGTTCTTGCTCAAACACAAAAGTGATTATACTGCGTAAATGAACCTTAGACTTGCTCTTTGGCATACCTGAATAGCAGGGTCATTTAATTAGCCAGGCATTTGGCTTTGGTTTGTACTCTCCTAAAGTACATTTGGCTTAGGAAATCATAAGACCCAGTCCAGAATAAACTATGCATGCCAATCGGCCTACAGTTGGCATCTCACAGCTGTGAGAAATAGCTAATCCAATTTAAAAAATAAAGCTAGAATTTGAAACATTTTGAACCTCATACAAAACAAGAAACACTAGAAAACCTTTCTCTTCCTTTTCTTCTCTCTCACACACACATATCCACACAGAGTTAAAAATAAAAGACAGTTCAAAGGGGAGCTGGGATTCAAGTCCTGGGTTGTCTAGCCAGAGTCCTTACTCTTAACTACTAAGCAATACTACTTCTTCAGGTGAATGAATGCACAGACACATATTAGCATTCCTTAGTTTACATTCTCTGTAACCTTGGAACTCAGGTCAAAAGAAACTGTTGATTTATTGTCTTAGTTATCTGGTAGTGCTGCTCTAACAAAAATATTTTAAGTGGATGGCTTTAACAAACAGAAATCTATCTTCTTTACAGTTTTAGAGGTGGAAGTCCAAATTCAGAGTGCTAGCTCATGGGAGGAACTCTAGTGGACTAATAGTAAGGAGCTGCGATGGTAACCCAAAGACAGTTGGTTTGAATCCGCCAGCTGTTCCTTAGAAGAAAGATGAACAATCTCCTCTTGTGCAATTTATGGCTTCTGAAAGCCCCCTGGAGGGTCAGCTATGAGTCGGTTCTGACTTGATGGCACATAATGACAACAGTATATGTGGAAGGTTATCGCTCTCTGTCAGCTCTAAAGGAAAGGTCCCTCTGTCCACCACCCTCTTGGCCCCTCAATTCCTGTGCCTGCCTTATGCTCTATGCAAAGTTCTGTTACAAAGTTCTTTAAAAAAGAAGGTCTGTCCTTAAGAAAGACTGGTAGCAAAACAACTATGAGATATCATCTCACCCCAGTCAAAATAGCAAAATTTAACAGAACAGCAAGCAACAAATACTGGTGAGGTTGTGGAGAAACTGGAACCTTTATTCACTGTTGGTGGAAGTACAAAATGGTGCAACCACTGTGGAAGGCGGTATGGCGCTTTCTCAAAAAGTTGCAAATAGAGATACCATTTGAGCCAGCAATTCCACTACTGGGAATATGTCCCAAAGAGACCATAACTGACATCCAAGCAGATATATGCACACCCATGTTTATTGCAGTTTTGTTCACAATAGCAAGGAGTTGAAAACAACTTAAGTGCCCATCAACAAACGAATGGATAGAGAAGCTGTGGTATATTCACACAATGGAGTACTACGCTGCATTGAAAAACAAGGAACTACAATATTATTCAAAATGGGTGACTCTGGAGGACATTATGCTGAGTGAAGTATCTCAGTCACAAAAGGATAAATAATGCATGGTGCCACTGTTGTAAAACAGGACTGACTGAGAAAGATGGGTTCAATAACGTAAAATGCATTGAAACAGATGAGGGAGAAAACTGTTTAAAAGGGTTATATGTGATTAGGTATTTTTGTCATGACAGGAGTTCAGAGCGAAGGCTGCATAATGGAGTGGACCTGGGGGGAGGGATTGTAAAACAATCAAAGAATTTTTCTTTTACTTTTCCAAGAGGGTAGTGTACTAGGGGGAGGGTTGGAAGGGGGAAAAGTTCAACAATAAATGAATGGAAATCCAAAGTCTCTGTAAATTTTCATTGAAATTAATAACAAATTAAAAAAAAAAAAGACTGGTAGAAGTCACCAGAGACACCTCACTCTACAGAATCCCCCCAACTTAAGGCACTCAGCTTTCTCTTCCTTTCTGGCCAGTTTCCATGTCATCTCATGCACATTTCCTAGTTCTCTGCCATTGCTTCTTGTTGTCCTGCACCATCTCTTCTTGGAGATGCTGAGGTTCCTCCACCTCTTATCTCTTGTTTAATCTCTTTTCTATCTCAGAAGAGACTGATTCAGGATGAAATCTAATACTATATATGGCATCCTGCTTCATTAACATTAATTGCCTCTAACCTGACATCAATCATTTCACATAGGCTAGAATTTGTACCACATAGGATAATTACATTAGAATTACAGAATACTGAGAATTGTAGCCTAGTCAAACTGACACATAACTTTTTTGGGGGTCACAGAGTTCAATCCATAACCAAATGATACATAGTCAAAGAGCATCTTAGCCTTTTTACTTCCCTTGGAATTGTAATATAAACATTCCTAGCCACTGAAGTTACTGATTTAATATAAATGGGCCAGCAAAGAAGGAAATTAATTCATGGTGCCCACCAACTTTTCTCATCAGAGAAAAAGCCTCTCTGCTTATGTTTCCAGTATTCATCTCTTTTTCTTTAACCAGTAGGAATGTAAGTGACAAATATAAAAAGTCAAGCAAAGGGTTCCATGACCTAGTAAAGTGGTAAGGGATATGGCCCTTGGAGTACAACTGTTCTCAGAAATATCTCACTGAGCTATGAGCATTCTTTCAGTTCAGGTTCAGTGTTAGATTCCAGTGCATAATGCCTGTGTTTCATTGACTATACAAAGGCATTTGACTGGCTGGATCACAACATATTGTAGCTAACCTTGAGGAAAATGGTAATCCCATAACACTTGATTGTGCTTATGTGAAACCTATACTTGGACCAGGAAGCAGTCATCAGAAAAGAGCAAGGAAATACTGCATAGTTCAAAATCAGGAAAGGAGTGTGTCAGGGATGTGACTCGATGACACATAACAACAACAACAATGGTTGGGTGGTGGGACAAAAGGGAAGCCGTCAGTTGCCGTTAGGATTTCCAGCCTGAGAAACCAAATACCGGGTCACGATGAGTTGGAATTAAATCAGTGGCAGTAGGTCTGATTTGAGTTTGGTGATGAAAAGAGAGAAAAAGTCTTTTTCATCTCAGTATGGGCACCCACGTGCGCCCAGGAATGGAAGCACTCAGAGGAAAGCAGTACGACAAGGAGAGACAGGAACACTTTAAATAATAATAATAATAAATAATAATAAATAATAGAAAATACTAATATTGTGGAGAGAGATGGGGGGGGGGAAGCCGTGTTATTAAAGCCTCTTTCAAAGTTCTCTTCCGAGGCTAGCCTCTCTGCAGCCACTGGTCCACCGTCACTAGGGTGACTCAACTCTGAACCAATCAGCAGGCCGCCTGTTGTGCAGGTCTCTCCTGATTCTCTGGAGGGTTGTGTTGGGCTGTCAAGTGGCCTCTGACCCCCACCCACAGCCTCCCCATCCCCCGGCCCTAACATGTAACCCAAATGCCCCCACGGGCCTAAGGGCTCCTGATGCAACACACTGCCCATTCATTCCCCTCCTTTACCACATCTGCCCCGAGAGAAAGTCTATCTAACACCAACAACAAGAGAGTTGTAGATTCCCAGAGCCACAGAGGAAGAATCCGAATTGCTCCTTTGTACCTCAAAGGCGAGAAGCAAAGCAAGGAGTTAGACCCGGCAGGTTCCAGGCGTGAGAGAGAAAGGAGAAATCAGTACCGGGGGAGACACATTCCTTTGTAGGGTCAGAAACTTGCCAAAGCTGTAGAAATCAAGTGTTCTGATCAGCTTTGCCTTCGAGGTGCTCTGGACTGGGAAGCAGGGGGTGATCCTAGGAAACGGGGGACCAGGAGAAGCAAAGCAGGACCCCGGGGCCGGCTGCCGGCTGGGGTGCAGCTATTGGATGAGGTCTCCCGGAGCCGCCGCCCGGTTCGTCCCGGTTCTCCCTCCCCGCACCTGAGACGATGGACCGCGCCTCCCACCAGCCGAACTCCCCGCCTCGGCCATCTTGTAGGTCCTCACGGGGCAATTTCCCCTCTTCTTTCATTTGAAGAAAAGAGAAGCGCTTCCGTGGGGTTTAATGTCCCAGTTCTCCCCGCCCCCCCCCCAAAGGGCTTCACCAGAGAAGATAATGGCATCTTGCACGAGAAGACATTTCCACAGACCTGATATGGGGTGCAGCGATGTACAGGAGGAAAGGGAGAGGGAAGAGCAGGAGCAAGAGCACGATCATCACTGAGGAGAGGCAGAGGCAGCGGTTCCAGCGGCGGAGGGAGAGGACCCAGGGCTTCTCGCGGGCTATGGCTTCCCTTCCACGACACGCCTTCCTTCCAATTACCGCAGCCCTAGAGCAAAGGCCTCTGGGAAATGTAGTCCGAAGCCTGCTCTCCGGCTACCCCGCGCCACAAGCGCTGTTGGCCGACTAGGACTGAAGTTAAACCGTGCACCTGTCACACGGCAAATCTCGACTCCTCTAAGATCGAGGCCATCGGCAACATTCTACCAGCTCTTTCCTAGCCCTTCGGACCACTAGCGGTTATGGTCATACTTCCTTACTTTTCTATTTGCCAAAGGTCAAACTCAGCCCAGTTCTCTTCACTCGTATTCAGGCAGTTACCTAATTGTTTCACATGGAGATCAAATATTGGTGGCAGGACAATGCTCAAAAGCCAACGGCACAAGGCAGGAGCAGTTGGACTCTACCAGTTGGTAAAAGAGGGGGAAGTTTGGGTCATTCCTCTACAGAAATTCCTTCTTGCTCTGCAATCCCAAAAGACTCCTCCAGCTGCTCCCACAGAAGGATAGGCTAACTCCTCTGCGATTTACTGCCTCTGAAAACCCACTGGAGGGTCACCTATGGTCATTTTTTACTTGATGGCAAATAACAGCTGGAAGAAGGTTGTAGTTCCCTCCAGGCCTGATCACTCCTTGAAGAAACCTGACCAGAGACCAGATACTGATAAGGTTCTGGGCCTGATCACAAAAGCCCACACCCAATTTAATTAACAGGACTCTCACCCCAAATTCTGAGCAAAATACCATCTTCTCTAGTCTTCCCTAAAACCCCTATAAAAAGGAACTGTCTTTGACTACCCTGCTACCATTTTGATCTTCTCCACATGTGGTGGATCACTTGGCGTCCCTCTTTTTTTAAAATTTTTTTTAATTATTAAATTTTATTAATTTTAATGAACATTTACAGGGATTTTGGGTTTTCATTCCTTCATTGCTGCACCATTCTCTCTACCCTCCTCCCCAATTTGTTCTTCTTCCCCT